GTCCGGTTTGTGACACACACCATATGAAAAATAAAGAGCATAATGATGCTATTTCATTGTGGAATCAAGTGCGTGCTTGGTTTCTCTTACTCACCACATGAAACAGGATCTTGATGCTACCTTTATATAAGTATTATATGCGAGCGAATTCCTTCCCCGGTTGGGTAGACTTAATCGTACAGCAGCTATAACATGCGGCAACGTGACTCTACACCTTAAAAATCTCAGCTTAATATTCATGGATATGTCCAGAAAATCCAAATATTTTCCAGAAGTGCTTATAATGTTTAGCTAGCACTTAATAATACCACTGTATCCATTTTTAGTCTATACGTTACTAGCGATCCATCCCTTTCTGGATCTCAATCTTGTGAATCTAAACCATTCTCTAATCAACTAAATCACACACATGAAATTACATCAAAACCGATACAGCCGTTTAGGAGGAATTCAGTCACATACACAGGTACAGAAAAACTATACAATATATAATATGCATGCATTAAACACATAAGCTTTTCTCTTGAATCATTTTGTCTATTGATGAAAACCGCATTAAAATTTGTGGCGTTGCTTAAATATCTAAGCGTTAAGACGGCGGGAAGCGACTTTGTTTTATCCTATGTAGCCATGTGCAATATTGTATTTTAAAACTATACATCAATATACATCTAAAATTGCTATTTTATCATCTTCATAGCCAACGTCGCGTCCACAACGATGCATTAAATAATAATAAATAATCTCCCCCCCCCCCCCTTTTACATCGAATATAGAGAAACCAGAGCTTTGAGTTCGATGTAGCTGTAAGAGCCGCATAGGCTTACATCATTAACATCACAAAAACTAGAACGCTACTTATCACATTATGTACATCTGAAGTAAGACGACCAAATGTTTTATTGATCAGAGTATATTGCCTACCGAATCGCTGATCTTGGGGTTGGAATCTGAGGACAATATTTGTCCAAAATCATAGATTTTATATTTTGAGGTCCGATTATTAATTATCGTTATCGTTAATGTCTAAAATTCTACTACTGTACATAAACCCTTCCCACAAATAACCTCACAGGGGATCCCACCAGAATTTCAGGCATGTTGACAACCACAGTTTTTTTTATGAATAAGTTGTTCATAGGAAGACGATGCTGTCTATTTCCTAGTTTGTTTCCCTCTGTCGCCTCTTATGATTCCCACGGTGCGAAAAGGAGTTTTGTATATACTTACACCGGCACTACACGTTCATTTTCAATTCCCAATTACCGATTTTCAATTTACTGCATGTCGCTAAATTTAATGATTACATCAAGCTTATTGATTACATCAAGCTTATCGATTACATCAAGCTTTGAAAGCTAAAGGTCAGTGAGTTAATTTTCATGTTCACACTCAAACACTGAGCACGTTCTATTTTGTGATTCTATAATATGTTTAGTACAATGGACACACATCAATGTTAAGCAAAATAATAATTGTATTTATTTATTTATTCTTTATTGCATTCCTTAATCTAAAAGAATACAAAGGGCGGACTTAATGCCTTGAGGCATTCTCTACCAGTCAACCCATGGAGTGGTGAGAATTTGAAGTAGGTGTAGCAATATAGAATAAAAACAAAATTGAAATGATAATTAATTACGTTATATAATATACATTTTACTAATATAGACAATAAATATACACGTACATACATAAGCATATATATGTATTCATATCAACATGCATATACAAAAAACAAATATATACGTCTAAAATATAAATTAGATGGATGATTCATGTAAGAAGCGTTGTCATTAACAGATGATTACGCACCAACTTTTTAAAAGCAAACTTATTGGGAGCTTTTCTGATGTCGTCAGGCAAGGAGTTCCAAAGGCGTGTAGCCTGAACTGTAAAGGAGATACCATAGAACTCGGTGAAGTGAACTGGAATTCATATTTTGTTGTTAGAAGAAGAACGTAGAACCCTATCATTAGATGAGGAGAGATAGTGAAATCTACTCTTAAGATAAGAAGGCGAAAATGGGTCATTTAATATGGAAAAAAGAACAAGTAATATTCTGGAAATACGCTTCTGCCGGATTGTAAGCCAATTAAGTTTAGATCTATATTGCGAAATATGGTCATACTTACGAAGCCCGAAAATAAATCTTATACAGTTATTGATAAGGGGTTCCACCTGGTTTAGAAGATCTTGTGACAGATACGGGTAAAACACATCTGCATAATCAATTATGGGTAATATAAGCGATTGGACAAGCATTATCATAGACTTTGCGGGGAGAAAATTTTTTAGACGATACAGAGAACGCAACGTGGTAGTGACTTTACGACTGATTTCAGTAACCTGAGTTCTCCAATTTAGCGTGCTGTCAATGTGTAGGCCGAAATTTTTTACAGACATACTGAACGGTATTGTAATCCCATTGTAATTGATAGAGGGTATGTCTGCAAGATTAATCTTGACTAGCATCCTTGAGCTACCCACCAATATAGCTTGGCATTTCGTAGGATTGACCAACACTCCATAACGAGTAGACCAATCCTTGATAGCTGATAAGTTGTTTAATTTTTTAATCCCAATATGGATATCCCCTATTTCAGCTTGCGCGTATAATAATATTAATCGAAGATGGAGGTAATAAAGTTTATAAAAGAAAAAATTATAGGAGAAAGAATTTGCTTGTGGCACACCAGCTTCCACATCAGCCCAACCTGAGGTTATTTGCCCCACACAGACTGACTGCCGTCGACCGCGAAGATAAGATGCAAACCATTCCAATACTGTAGGCCCAAAATTTAGATGAGACAGTATGGAAACAAGGATTTCATGATCAACTCTGTTGAAAGCACTTGAGAAATCAACTAGTACCAGTACTGTTACTTTTTTTCTTCCATACCGTTTTTAATATCGTCTGTGATGTTAATTAAAGTACTACGACCAGGGCGAAACCCAGACTGATATAAACTCAGTAGGTTATGTTTCGAAATAAATGTAGAAATTTGCTTGTAAAAACAGGATTCTAAAATTTTGGAAAGAAAGGGTAGAATGGATATAGGGCGAAAATGATTGCGAAGAATGGGAGAAGGAACTTTTGGAAGGGGCTTTATAAAAGCCCTTTTCCAAAGATTAGGGTACTGACATGAATCAAGGGAAAAATTTATAACATGGGAAATTGCCGGGAGAAGGTGCTCTAGTATAAATACTACCATTTGTCTACTAATCTGATCATAACCTACCGCCTTGGAATGAATTTCTAAAATAGACTTTTTGACATCATCCTGAGAAACAGGAGAGAAATTAAAGGTAGGTATATTAGAAATTTGCACAGAAGTAATGGAAGCCACAGTTTAAGAGCGAATTGTATGGTTTTTACATTTGCTGTTACAGAAGCGAAATGTTGGTTTATTTTTAACTTTGAGAAAAAGTTAAAACCGTCTACAAATTGCTAAAAAAGAAGTTATTTATTTGCTACTCGTGAAGTTAATATATAATATTCAATTACTAGTGAATTTTTTTCTAAAAATGTATATGGGACCATCCTTTATCACATATTCAAAAAAAGAATCATCAAAATTGGTTCAAAATCTGCGAAAATATCGCGTAAAAATCATACAATCGAATTGAGGATCTCCTCCGTTTTGAAGTTGGTTAAAATAGTTTCTTCTATATTTTGTAGCCTAATCTTTTATTACGCGTGTGCACAATAAAAAATAGCAATATTCAACAAGAAAACTGGAACACTAGCACCTATTACACACACAGAAAAAAAAAACTAAAAAATTCTGCGAAATACATTGCCAGTTTTTTTTTGTACGAGCAGCTATGCAGGTCTAGAGAGACAGTACATCACTGCGACTTAAATGATCTATTGTGATCGCAGCTATGTCTATACTTCACTGTTAAGCCCTAAGTCCTCAATGAATAGAAGGAGTTCCTTAGCTGTGAGTAATTTCACTTCTTCTGGGCGAAGTATATAGTTACCCAGATGAATGCTGCGTTTGCGCATTAAGATTCCGCAATTTGTCAGGATGTGTAAAGACGTTTCCTCCTCTAGGGAGCAAAACCAACACATCCTTGAGTTGCTTAGTTTCAGGATGGGTATGCGCTTTTTAAGACAACAGTGTCCAGTCAGGGCTCTTACCGAAGGCGCACTTTATTTTTACCTTATCCCAGGGCTTCCAAAGGGAATTTATGATCGAAAGCCTTGATTAAGGTTTTTGAATGTTTTAAGCCTGATAATATATCAGACCAGATGTAAAGTGATTTGTTGTGGTAAAGAGTTTCCATGGTCTTCTTTTTCTTCTTTCTTTTTTTATGGCGGTTTTTGATTATTCGCCAATGTCAGCGTGGAAGTGTTTATTGAGTAAAAGCTCAGTAGTTACAAATACTATGTCCATGTACTAAAGAAGATTGTGATAATACAAGTATCTTGTTTTATTCAAACAATCAAATTTTCCTTTTTATCTTGTAACACTAGTGGTTGTACTGTTGAATTATCTAGAACAAATGACAAACACAGTTGCTATAACTACATTAGTATATTAGTATTGACAGACATTAAATTTTTATACTATTAGTGTTAATAAAATCACACAGAATATATACATAAGGAGTATTTGTGTAGGTTAAAAGTGAATCAAAATTTATAGGACGAAGGATGTCAGGAGGGAGATGATCATAGAGTGAACAAGATAATTTAGGACATTTAAAAAAAATATGGTCAGAGGTTCCCTCATCTAACCCACATTCGCAGAGGAAACTATCCCTAATCCTCAGTTTGGCTAAATGTACTGGTGTACAAGCATGGCCAATTCGAAGTCTACAAATAGTTGATGTTGACTATTTGTTAGCTTTATTAAATTTGAAAAACCATGGTTTTGGAGGGATGGCACATTGTATAGCAGCATAGTGTTTACCTTTTATATTTTGAGTGGCTTTCCATAATGTGTTCCAATTATTACTTAACTTCTTCTTTGCAAGTAACAGTATAGATAGATAGATAGATAATTCTTTATTGTACACCAAATCAATACATAAACGAAAGAAAAAGAAAAAAAAAATAGTGACACAATGGGCGGTCTTATCGCTAAAAGCGATTTCTTCCAGACAACCTTTGGATGGACAGGATTACAAAAAGCAGAAAATTGTGTGGTTTGGTGATGCAGAGACAATATTTATAAAGATTTAATTATAATATATAGAAATAAATAACAAATAAAGACATAAAATACGAATGCATACATATATAGATGGCTGAATTCAAAGGTTAAGATAGTGGTTGTGTACAAGCTTCTGAAAAACAGATAAAGATTGGGCGCGTCTCACTGACAGAGGTAGGGCATTCCATAGACGGACTGCTTGGATAGTAAACGACCTGTCCAAAAATTTGGTATTATGGGCAGGCATTTTTAATGTAAAATTTTCTGATGATCTCAAAACCTTCGAATGGGAATAGTGAAGGAATTCAAAGCGATCCTTAAGATAAGAAGGATAGGAAGGATTAAATAGAACATTGTAAAGAAGTGACAGAATATGAGCATTCCGGCGAAGACGAATAGGAAGCCACTTGAGCTTATTACGAAAACAAGAAACATGATCATACTTGCGCAAACCAAATATGAATCTTATACAAAAATTTTGAAGACGCTCAAGTTTATCAAGTTGCTTTTCGGTGAGATCAAGATAGCTGACATCTGCATAGTCCAGAATCGGGAGAAGCAGAGATTGTGCAAGCGCAATTTTAGTGGCAGTAGGCAGAAAGTTCCTTAATCTGTTCAATGATCGAGCAGCTGCAAAGAGTTTACGACTAACTTCCTGTATTTGAGGACCCCATGATAGGTTACTGTCAATATAAATTCCCAAGTCTTTGACTTTTTCACTAAGAGGAATAAAATTTCCATCAAAAACAACTTGAGGTGCTTGAGAAAGGTTTGATTTCCCAATCATATTCGAACTTCCGATTACAATTACCTGAGTCTTTAGAGGGTTAATCTTTAAGCCATATGTTTTTGCCCAATCTGATATTTGCTCAAGGTCACTATTTATAGTAGTAATAGCTACATGTAGTTCACTAGGAGAAACATGAGTATATATTTGAAGATCATCTGCGTATAGGTGGTAGGAAGAAGTAATCTTAGTAGCTATAGAATTAATAAAAATTGAAAAAAGTAAGGGAGATAATACGCCACCCTGCGGGACACCAGCAATGGTATCACACCAAGAAGAAAATGTGTCATCAATGCGAATACATTGCCGGCGCCCAGACAGGTAACTTTGAAACCAACCAATCACTGTTGGAGATATGTTAAGAGAACCAAGTATACCCAGTAAAATTTCAAAATCAATTGAATTAAAGGCATTGCTAAAATCTAACAGAGAAAGGATAGTTAATTTGCCATATTCCATGGCAGATCTTATATCTTCCGTAATATTGACTAAGGCTGTGACAGTACTATGCCCAGGACGAAAACCAGATTGTAGAGGATTTAGAAGGGAATTATTGCGAAGGAAGGCACTGAGCTGATTATATACTAGGCGTTCGAGAACTTTGGATAGGAATGGCAATATAGATATAGGACGATATTCCGAAAAAGATGTAGGGTTGGGCTTTTTAGGCAACGGTATGATGTGAGCGTCTTTCCAAGTTGATGGAAAAACACCACAAGAAATGGAGGAGTTGAGGATATGGCAAAGTATTGGGATGATTATGTCAAGAACCGGAAGGATCATATTACGGCTGATACAGTCGCTGCCAATTGCATTTGAAGTAATGGATAGAATACTCTTCTTAACATCACAAGCAGAGAATTGATTTAGAACAAAAGATGAATGATCAGGAGTTGGAAGCGATGAAAGAAAATTTAATGTGTTCAATTTTGTAGCTCCATTTAAGTTGGAGGAGGATGAGAAGTGATGATTTAGTAAATCAATATTTAAGTCTTTAGAAAGTACAATATTACGGGACTTTCCAACCCCCATTGATCTAAGAAAACTCCAGACTTTAGCTGAATCACCAATTTGTACCGATTTATGGATATAGTGGCGTTGAGCATCCCTACACACCCTATTGCAGTGATTTCGAATACTAACATATTTTCCCCAGTTTATAGATGTAGGCTTACATTTATATTTTGTCTTGGCTGCAGCTTTTTTATTTAAAATGGTTTTTATTTCATCAGTCAGCCATGGTGAAGGAAGATGTCTCATTTTAATTACGCGAACTGGTGCATGTTTATCATAAAGACAGGTTAATTTAGTCGTAAATATTGCAACTTTATCGTCGATAGAATCTGCACTTAAAACGGCTGACCAATCAATGTTGGAAGCATCTTTGCAGAGATTTTCAACATTCATACTACGGAAACTGCGTTGCAAAAGGAATTTAGACTTAAGTTTAGGTGGCCGGACATTATAAGAGAGAAATATAAGATCATGGTAAGAGAAGGCATCGGCTGGACACTGACCGTGCTTAACAGCGAAGTCAGAAGAGGACACAAAAATAAGGTCAAGCAATGACGGAGTAGCATTAGGGAAGTGATGAGTAGAATTTAAAGGTAAAATAGAGAGATTAGTGGAATTTACGATGGATCGAAGAGAGGATGAACGAGAGTCTTGTTTAAGCAGACAAGTATTAAAGTCGCCCATAATGATCGTGTGCGAGTAGGAAGATACATTTTCTAAAATATTTTCGAAGGAAGTGAAGAAGTCGATACGAGATGAAGGACAGTAATATACACCCAGAAGAATTTTAGTATGACTAAGCTCCACCTCAATAAAAAGATGTTCACCTGCATTAGGCGGAGATGGTTGAGATGACATATCAACAACAGAAAAGGGAATATACGCTCGGAGATATATTGCCACACCACCACCACCGCCCACAGTACGATCATTTCTTATGAGATGAAAGCCAGGTAAAGAATAATTAGTGGAAGGGAGACAAGGTTTAAGCCATGACTCAGAAACGAGAATAGCATGAATATCCTTAGAGTCAAAGGTAGCCAGCATATCTGAAAAGTGAGCCGGAATGCTTTGGGCATTTATGTGAACAACGTTGAAATTTTTGGGAACATCAGAAAATTGTGAAGCTAGTATTTCAGAGAGAGGCTGTAAGCTAGGGACACTGTCACCATCACTATCTGTGGTTAAATATGTTTCAGTATCACTGCTAATGTCTAAATAAGACATTACAAAATAAAAATTTATATCTATATAAAATAAAATAAAATATAACGTATAATAAATACAATACTATAAAAAAAAAGTTAATAAATTTTCTTAAACTAAAAACAAATAAATAAAAAATTCTTTAGTGTCCACCTGCCAGTTGAGTGTTACGATAAATTATCTGTACAACACTTAAACAATAAATGGAAATAAAAAATTAGTTTAATAATGAACTTCTTATTAAAGTAGGATTAAGTGAAAGAAAAAAAAACAATAAGGGTGCATAAAATAAACACCGTTAAGGGAAACGCAACGGTCAGTGCGTTATTTAGCATTATTGTTATAGTGCAACATAACCTCGAAATTGTGATTTTTGTGTTAACGTTAACTGTAGTATTCAGAACAAAAACTAATGACATCTATGCATTTTACAATATTTCACATTGTCAATTTTTAAGTATACCAAAACGTATAATAAATGGAAAGAGGGGTTCATAATTATTATGCTTATTTTATGTACATTCAATGGTAAAAAAAAAAAAAATTGCACTAAAGTTAAAGTTACAAGTTAAAGTTAAAGGCACAAACCTCCTCAAATTTATCAGAGTGTTTTGCACTAAGCTTACACTAAATACTCAAAGAAATAAGTCACACAAGCTATTAATTGTAATTATATAACATTAAGAGAGAAAAAAAAAAATGACAATATTTAGGTATGGCAAATCCTGTACACTTAACACTTCTTCACGGCGGCGTTTCGCTTGGGCTTCCCAGCTGCAGTTTTCGATACTGGTTTTGGGCTTGTCTGGCACTCAATTTTGCTGATGTCATTCAGACTGGTTATACGATGTCTGGTTCCATCAGGTTTTGCAACGTACACAGATCCATCTTTAGTCCAGCATTTGGAAATACCAAATTTTTCACGGGCAGCTACAAAAATATCATGCCGAAGCTTGGTGAGAAATTCGGATACTGTGACTCCGGAGCCTTTAAGTTGGGATTTTCCGTACCAGACTTTATCACGCAACCCTACATCTAAGAATTTCACTAAAATGGGTCGAGACTTGTGAGGAGCTGTTGGTCTACCCAATCTGTGACAACGCTTAATATCACTGACAGAGACGTTAGCTAATTTCAACTGATTTTGCAGAACCTTGATGACAGCCAAATCGGTGTTTTCTTTTGCAATCTCTGGAACACCATGAAGCAGTAACATTTTCCTTCGGCTTCGCATCTCCATGCTATCAGCATTACGAGCAAGTAACTCCATCTGCTGCTGAAGACTGTTTAGTGCCTGCACTACAAACGTCTTGAAAGATGCAAACTCAGCTGCCAGAGAGGTAGTACTGGTAGATGTGCTGGGCGTTTTCCGCAATTCTTCCTCAAAAACATCCATCCTGTTATGAAACACCTCCATCAAACTGGACAGAGTGTTTTTAATTGTCGAGTCCATGGTATAGTGACGAACTGAGAGAGGTTATAAAAGTAAAAAAAGTGTTGTAATAGTGGTTGGATTAAGTAGTAAACACTCACAGACAGGTAGTTTAAGCTAACTTTTCATTACTAGCACTTGATATATAATATTTTACGAATTATGTATTAATTTTAATAATAACTTGAGAGATAACAATTTTACGTGTTGCATTCACAACTACCCACACAGAAAAAAAGGTTAGGTTAGGTTAGGTTATGTCTGAAGAGTAAATTAAATTACATGGCAAACCATTTGGACTTGCATTTTTAGCCATCAGATCAGCTGTTTCATTGCCCTTGATGCCACTATGACCTGGAATCCAAGCTAAGGTAACCTGAATGCCCTTGAGATGACAACTATACAATGTGTGTTTAATTTTGAGGATCAAGGGTATCTTATATTTACTTTGTAACTGGTTTGACAAAATTGCTAACAATCAGCTTTTGGAGTCGGTAAGAATAACTGACTTATTTAAGTTGTGTGCTTCTATATAAATCAAAGGTTCATAAATTGCCGTGGCCTCGCCAGTAAAAGTGAAAGAAATAGAAGGGCATTTAAAATTGAGGATTATTTTGTATCTGGGAATCCAAACTGCTGCTCGAGTGCAACTTTTACCTGACTTTTTGGAGGCATCGGTGTATATAATAAGCCAGCCTTTCCATAAATTATCTATGACTACTTAGTTTACTATTTGCTATAGGGCAATCTTTCTCAATACCAAGGTCGAGGTGGATATTTGGTTGGAAAATAATTGCATCGTATGGGATATCAAAGATGGGACAGGACTTGCATTGTGATACTGGGTGTGGTAGATGGAGTAATGTTACCAAACTGTTGGATAAGCAGGGAGATTCTTTATGAGTCCAGTAATGCTTTGATGAAATATATTCCAAAAGAAGGTGTAATTTAGAAATGAGAGTTGAAATATTTAAAAAAAGAATCGGTCTGAAAGATATTGTCTTCTTAGGTAAATAGGGGGATCTACATATTCGACTTGGAGAGCATTTATTGGGAAGATTTCATTGTCCCAATGATTATACGAAGGCTTTTCGTCTGAATCCTGTCTAGGATCTTTAGGGAAGACTTATTACATGGTTCCAAGACAAAGCACGCATAATCCGAATGACTACGAATAAGGGCGTTGTACAATCTTTTTTGAGAGAATGGGTGGGAGCCCCACCAAACTCCCGATAAAGCGCGAAGAATATTTATATCTTTTTCACATTTTCTTGAGACATAGTTGATATGATGAGAAAAGGTTAGTTTGGAGTCAAGAATAACTCCCAAAAATTTTACATTCTCCCTAATTTATTATATATTTCTCTATAATATTATTATAGAGAATGTCGATTTCAGGGAGTTGCCTATGGCGAGAGAAGATGACAACACTGCTTTTGGGAACAGACAAGGACAAACCATGATCAGTTAACCAATCTTGTAAATAGGACATCGATAAATTCAAGCGGGAACAAGCTGTAGCAAGGTTATCCAAGGAAATATATATAGCTATATCGTCTGCATATTGGAGGATGTTACAGAATGAGTTAACGGAATGTTCTAGATCATAAGTATAGATAGAATAGAGCAAAGGACTAAGTACTGAGCCTTGTGGGAGACCCTTCCATACAATTCTTGGCGGGAGTAGAGAATTTTGACTATCAATATAAATGGATCTAGAAGAGAGAAAGTTAGAGATAAAGTTTACTATCCTCACTCACTGGAATACTCAGATTCCATGGTCAATCGGGCGAGGCTTTTTGATATTCCACAAAATGACTGGGGTCCAAATAGTGTACTCTTTGAGCCCTCCCGTGTGAGTTTGTTGGCATTTTCATTGCCTACAATACCCGCATACCTATAATCTTAAAACTACCTTGTTATTACCTCTCAAGACGTTTACGTGGTTCGCACAGTCTCCAACTAGCTTAGAGTTTCCAAGTTTGATCTCAGCGCTAGCTGTGCTGCTTGACTATCAGAGCTAATATAGATTATATGGTTAACGTAGTATAAACCATATACCATATAAGGCTACCGACTTCACAGATGAACTGTCCATTCAGCCAGTCTTCTCTGGAGGGTAGTTCCACTGTATAATTTTTTTATAAGTATATTGTGGACGCATGATATCTGAGACCATGCATAAGAGCGGTGTTTCCGTGATTGAGTCGAGCATGGATCTCAATTTATAGGAAAGCAAGCTCAAACCGTCCTGAGCGTTAATCCTACACAGGCTAGCCTTCGCCTCCTATATATATAAAGGACGTCAGGCCTAGAATTGCATTAAGAGCCGCTCGAGGCGATGATCGCATCGCTCCAGTTGCCATTATAAGGCAGTCATTTGTAGACTATTTAGTCTGTCCGCAGTCGTCTTTTTGTTGGCCTTATTACACCAGACAGTGGAGACGTAGGTAAAAATCGGCCTCACTATACTGCTGTACAGCCATAGGATCATACTGGGACGCAAGCCCCAGTTATTCCTGACCATGCAACTGCACGTACCCAAGGAAATTTTTGCCTTATGACATACATTGCTAAGGTGAGAGATCCACGTTTGTACAAGTACTTAACTTCAGTGGAGAATGGTACTTCTTTACCATTAAGTTTTGGTTTCACTAATTTGTCCAACCGTCTCTTTTTTGTAAAGAATATTATAACAGTTTTATCAGCATTAACCAATAAACTGTTATCCCTGCACCAGTTGTTTATGGTGTTTAGGGTCTTTTTATGATTCATGATAAAGTACTTTGGCAAAAACCCCTCGCAATAATCATAAGGTTATCTGCATAGCCCAGGGTGTCAATGCGTAGGTCTGCCATCCTGTACAATAATTGGTCAACCGCAAGAGTCCAAAGGAGGGGTGACAAAACACCACCTTTTGGACAGCCTCTTGTAGTTGCAATCTCAATCGAAGTTTGAAACAGCTCTATTTTGCCTTTCCGTTTGAGAGCATCGACTTAATCCACATAATGGTTGTGCGGTCAATATTTTTAGATGTCAGTCCCTCAACCAGCAGTGATGTAGGACTATTGTCGAAGGCGCCCTAAATGTCTAGAAAGGCACAAAGAGCTTTCTCTTTATCCTCCAGTGCTTTTTCGATCCGGTCAATAACACTGATCAGGGCTGTTTACGTAGATTTGCCTCTGCGGTAAGCATGCTGGTTGAAGTGTATAGGTTTCGTAGCTAGAGAGACATTCCTAATATATTTATCTATAACCTTTTCCCATGTCTTCAGAAGAAAGGAAGAAAGGCTTATAGGTCTAAAGAACTTTGGTAAGGCGTAGTCCTTTCTGCCAGCCTTAGGTATAAATAGAACATTGGCAATCGTCCATAGTGCTAGAATATATTTTTATGCAAAATTTGCTTTGAAGATTTTTACCAAATAAGGAAGAATGATATCAATACCCCTCTGTAGATAGATGGCATTATTCCATCCTCCCCATTTGTCTTATATGGTTTAAATGAGTCAACAGCCCACTGCACCAGGTTTGGTCTTATTACCTTTGTAGCTCTACACCAGTCCTCAATACAAGGTCTTCGTAGGGTTCTGAAAGAGTTCGAGGCCAGAGTCATATGTGACTCTGGGAAATGGGTTCACGCTAGTAGCTCCAGTGTATCCGTTTCACTATTAGTGAAGTTACCATCAGGCTTTTTAAGAAGCCCGATCTGATTAGGTTTAGCTTTCGATAGCATTTTGTGTAGTCTTGCACTGCAAGGCAAAGACTAAACTCTCTCGCATAGATTCTTCCACGATGCTCTTTTAGCTTTTCTAATTTATTTATTATAATCGGTTAAGGCTGCACTATAAATATCCCATTCTTTTTTTTAGACATATAGTTTCTTGGTATTTTCTCTAAGCTGCTTTAGATTTTATACACGAAAAGTCCCACTAAGGAACATTTCGTGTTGAGGTCTTGTTTTTGACGGGACAACTGTCTTCGAAGGCTTCACGGATACCTACGGTTACCGTCTCCGCCGCTAACTCCAGACCTTCAGTCGTTTTTATGCTTTTAGTAAACGTTTCTAAATTGCTCCTTAGGCTCCAAAAGCGACCTCCTGGGATATCTACAGAGATCTGTAGATATAGAAGGTCGTTTTTGAATCCCTGAAAGCCACAGTTTCATAAGTTGGTGATGCCCTAATCACAAACTTAATGTGTCTGTGATCATCTATATCTAGTTTTCACTACTCACATGCCAGTCAGTAATTTGCATGGATATGTTATTGGTAGCAAAGATTATTGTACACGCCTCTAGCTGCTCTGACAAAGGTCGACCATACAGGGGCCCATACGGCTGTAGATTTGACGGACAACTAAGGGTGGGGCCCAACGGCCTATGGAGACTTATTATTCTACACAATAGATATAAGGCTAGGTAATTAATAAGAACGTACCTGGTTCCGAAACTAAGACTGACCCCAAGGCTCGGTCAGGCGGTAGGTAGCTGCATGTAAGTAGTGTGTTAGAAGGTGTGCATGTGTGACCTGACCTAACTGGAGTGATCGGGCACCGGCCTGATCCGATGCTGCCCCACGATGTTGTATCACTCCCGCGGACGTCACCAATTGACAATGGTAGCTTTCACTTCACAATTTCAGTCTATCAACTTTTTTGTACATATAATTAACTTCAAAGTCAATCAATTCAACGTTCATCGAAATCAAACACGTGACATAAGGCACAACTAATGAACGGTGGATCAAAGTTCACTTCCGTTTTCAGTCAGCAAAAAATTATTTCTAGAACCGAACGCGACCTTCTCTAGGGTCATAAAGTTCCGCGCTCCCCACAACAACCAAGATTCTTTCGTACGATATTAACAGGCTACTCACGCAAATTAAAAAATTGCAACTGCACTTCAAAACGCTATCACTATACAAATTGACGTAAATTACTTGCAACGAAGTTACTTTAACCACGCAAATTCGATACAAGCCTCTTGTCACGAAACACTCAAATAGACACTCAATTCGAGGCGGTATTAAAGAT